GTGTTACAGCCACAACTGATCTACCTGTATGTATATGACAATTATGAGTGAGCTAAGTTATACGCAAGCGACAACTTTGACTGACCTAAGTAAATAGGACAGCTATAACTGACCTAGATAGATGTGAGAGCTATGACTGACCTACAGTAGGTACACCCGGTAAAAAGTATCTTTCAGGAGGAGTCCGAAGAATTTGGAACTGAACAATTGTGTTGTCTCGCTAGGGTTGGTAGGCGTGATTGTGAGACATTTCCTACTTAATATGGTAGGCCTAATTTAGTTATTTAATTCTTAATATAAAATAAGTTCGTTCCAATGTGATAGGTGAATAACAGTTTGCCTGAGGGGCCTTTATCAAAAACTTTCGTTCGTGGTGTCATTTTGTTTCGAACGAAAATTGTAAAGATAATTTTTTTGTACGGAGTGTTACATGTGACAGGTGAATCTAGGAACGGGTCATTGTGCCAAGCCGGAAGAGTTAGAGGGCATCAACAGCCAGTCAAGTAGTATCTGATGACCCTCATGTGTATATTATATTATATTATATTATATTATATAAGTTTATTTAGTTATTATTTTATTAGTGTGTCAACCCAAGACATTTATATGAGAGATTTAAGAGGCGGGATTAGCCGGGTTCTTTGCCAAGGCACCGAGTTATGTGTAAACAAAGAACTCCAACACCTACAGCCCGACCTTGTGTCACCTCCACCACTCACGTGAGTCTTAAACGGTGCTTTTGCCAAGGCACCGAGTTATGTGTAAACAAAGAACTCCAACACCTACAGCCCGACCTTGTGTCACCTCCACCACTCACGTGAGTCTTAAACGGTGCTTGACCTACATCACTCATTGGCTTAGATATCAGATCAAAACAACCTTGTAACTTATTGTACATCTCTTTAAAGGTCTTTAAACTGTTCTTTCAAGATTATTTACATCCATACACGTGCAAATACGAAACATTTACTTCTAATTGGAATTTGATGTATTTTGACAATTAATTGAAACACATCAACAGTATATATATATATATATATATATATATATATATATATATATATATATATATATATATATATATATATATATATATAATATAATATAATGTTCCTTCACTATTTTCCTTCATAAGTTCGTTCACCCAGCAAAGTTCATCTGTACGATTGCCAAGCAACTGTCCATTCATAATGTGTGGGAGTGGCCAGGTCTTTTATCTGATAAGGTGCAGCTCCCACCTGGTGAAGTGTGGTGACCCCTGCACCATCTGCCACCCGCCTACTACCTACATGTCACCCACCAACCTGCCATCCGCCACCCACCTGACACCAGCTACGCACTTGTCATCCGCTACCCACCTGCCATCCGCCACCCACCTGCCATCCGCCACCCACTTTTCATCAGCCACCCTCCTGTCATCCGTCACCAACCTTCCACCAGCTACCCACTTCTCATCCTGTCACCACCCACCCACCTACCACCCACCGTTCCACCTGTCACCCACCCACCAGAACTATCACTAAACGCAACACACCCATAACCAAATGCCCTGCATCCACCACCTACCACTACCATCCACCACCACCCACCACACTCACCACCCATCTCCACCACCACCAGCACCCACCACCCACCCCCACCACCCACACCCACCACCCCTCATCCACCACCCCTCATCCACCAGTCCTCATCCACCACCGAGTATCACTCCACGTCATTGTTAGGGTCGAACTTTGAAATGAACAAATGTACTTAACTGAAGGTCAGACAGACAGAATAAGAGGTATTGGAAGTTAATTGGTACTTAGCATATACCATAATTAAATAAAAAGGTATTGGGCAACAGTGACGCGGTATGATGATTGCCGCCATGAGAGCATAACTGCGGCTGACTGACTGACCAACATTACTGAGTAGACACACATATGAAAACATTCACCGCAATGAAGTGTGAATATGAAAATAAAACAGTTTTTAATAGGGTTCGAGTTGTCCCGATTATAGGAACAGTGTGACTGCAGCTTTTAGTACACAGGGAGCCCGATACAGCACTTGACCTTCTTCACTTCCTAAACTGTAAAGTTAGGTGTACTCCCTTAAAGCTGGGCGAGCCTAATACCCCGGAATCGAGCCAGCGTCACTTAAGACCAGAGGTGAGAACTCTATCCACTTGGCTACCGCGCCCTTAATTGAAAGTACATTTACCTAAATGAAGCATCAGTAAGACATCAAAATTGTAAGTCATGATGGCGCCCTACAGAGAGTATTGCCAAACTCTCTCTGTTCCTGCTAAAACCAGACACGACACAGTGATAGTTTGTTTTGGTTCGGGTAAGCCTGTCGTGGCCACTCGATAAAATCTCAACCTGTTAAGCTCATGGTAGATTTTATTTTGTCTATATTCAAACAACCGTCTTCTAAGTTTCTCCAATTAAAATGTGTATATTACATGTGTGTGTATCTGTCATAGAGGACTGATGAGTAAAGAGGAGCCACATTGCCCTAACAACATGGTCCTTAACAGTAAATAATAAAAATCAAGCCAGGCCGTGAGCCACGTGAGTCAGGCGTCACCTGTCGTACACAAGATGAGAAAGAACAGGTTTACATCCTCCTACCTGTGAACGAGCTGGAGACTATAAATTACAGTTTAGCTCATAACGCCTGTTCTAACTAGTAATAAAAAGATAAATCATTAAATACAATGCTCATGTGATTTTTTTCTAAACAATTCAGACTGGGTTTATATAGATGTGAAATAGATAATCATAAAACAAATTATATATATGGTATTATTAAACCGAACATCATATATATATATATATATATATATATATATATATATATATATATATATATATATATATATATATATATATATATATATATATATATATATATATATATATAAGCAGGAGGACGCCGCCAAGGTAGGTGTGCGTGTGAGGTAGAGCGCGGCGTCGCCCGACCTTCCCCAGTCATGTCATCATTCCATGGTACAACGCCGCTAATCAATAAGTAATTGTCATTGCATGCCGCCGCCTCATTTAGTAATGATTAACTCAGGTAAATAGTGTTGTCTTATCTAGATAAGATAATCATTACAAGATTAACTCCATGGTCAAGTTTTCCTCACCCGAGGCGCTGGCTTGATCCACAGTTTAAGTCTAATGAACCTATTGGATGTTGTAGACGTTTTTTGCCTCTATATTGGCTAACTCTTTGATCCAATGCCTGATGTGTACAGAAAGCAGTGTGTAGTGAAGGTACAGCAGGGTGTAGTGAAGATACAGCAGGGTGTAGTGAAGATACAGCAGGGTGTAGTGAAGGTACAGCAGGGTGTAGTGAGGGTACAGCAGGGTGTAGTGAAGATACAGCAGGGTGTAGTGGTACAGCAGGTAGGAAGGTACAGCAGGGTGTAGTGAAGGTACAGCAGGGTGTAGTGAGGGTACAGCAGGGTGTAGTGAAGATACAGCAGGGTGTAGTGAAGGTACAGCAGGGTGTAGTGAAGGTACAGCAGGGTGTAGTGAAGATACAGCAGGGTGGAGGTACAACAGGCAGGGTGTAGCGAGAGTGGAGGTATAACAGGCAGGGTGTAGCCAGGGTGGAGGTACAACAGGCAGGGTGTAGCGAGAGTGGAGGTATAACAGGCAGGGTGTAGCCAGGGTGGAGGTACAACAGGCAGGGTGTAGCGAGGGTGGAGGAGGGTGACGACTGAATCTAAGGGCAGGCATCACTACTCTGCTTCAATGTGTTGCTGTACACCCTACCCGCCACCTCCTTGGTCCCGCCCACTTCACCCCTCGCTCCGCCCATCGCAAGCCCCGCCCACCACTGCCCTCTTCACTCCTCCCATCTTCCACCACCTCCTCCTCCTCCTCCTCCGTTCTTTAATTCACTCCACTTCCCTTGTAATGGTTGTTAGTGTGTTTTTAATTATCATCACACGTCAACCAGCATCACACGTCAACCAGCATCACACGTCAACCAGCATCACACGTCAACCACTCTCCATCTTAACAATTCAAAAAAGATTATTATTCCCACCAATGTCATCACTAATACTATCGACAAGACGTGACCACTTACTTTACTACTACTACTACTACCACTACTAATTACACTACTACTACCTAACAATATCATGCAGTTCATAGTCACTACCACACCACAACCACTACTATACAGCCAGCACCATAGACTATACCACTACCACTCCCACCACCACCACCACCACCACCACTATATCACCATCTTTCCCACAAACACTATTCCACCATCACTATACCACCACAGCCAGTACCACCACACAGCCATCACCTCCACACAGCCACTATCACCACCACACAGCCACCACCACCCCACAGCCACTACTACCACACAGACATCACCACCACCATCACACAGCCATCACAAACCACACAGTCATCAACACCACCACACAGCCACAGTCATCACCACCACCACCTCACAGCCATCACCACCACCACCTCACAGCCATCACCACCACCACCATACAGCCATCACCACCACCACCATACAGCCACCACCACCACTACCACAGCATCATAATGAACACATTAAGTAGCTTTAGTACCCCACCGTCACCCTCAAGTGTCAGCTCATCAGCATCCCCTAAGTGGTGCCTCGTGTCGGCCACTCGAGGACCACCACAAGGAAACATCACTATGAGTATCACCAATAATAACACCAACTCTCCTTCACTACTACACACTCTTATTATAACTCAGATCCATAAAAAGCTCAGAGTGCTATAAATAGTAGTGGCCCGGTAGGCGTGGTGACCATGTGGGTTTAGCGCCGAAGGAAGCAGATTTGCAGATCGAACAGTTCCACATTTGTTCGTCGGCAGCTCAGCGGTGGGGCTGCCCTCCCTCGCTCTCGGTTACCTAACAGTTGACACAGCGACAAACGCGTGCGTGTGTCTCCTGCATACCGTGAGCATGGAAAAGGGGAAAATGTAATTGTGTGTGTTAGGGACAGGCTGTGTGTTGTTGGTATACGCAGGATTCCCCGGAACGAGTAAGGAGGGAGAGCTCCTTCATGAGAGGATCACCCGTGGTCAGGTAGCAGCAACCTACGCCAGCACGACACCCGTGACCACGCCCACGACGGGCTCTGAGTGGCTCGGAGCCTTCCTTCAAGTACCTCAACAGCCAATAGCAGAGAGAGTTAACGCACTTGAAAAGTTAATTGGTTCGACTATCAACAAAGACACGCCCCTTGTACTGGTAGCGATTAACTCCCAGACCTAATGTATAAAAGCGCTTGTCAATCTTGAAACGGGTCTTATGGGTGTGCCGTGAAGTAGTGTGTGAGACGCTAGCTAACTTTGCAAACATGCAGTGGACGCGCTACCTTCTACTGACCCTGGTGCTACTGCAGGCGCTGACGGAAGCCAAACGCAGGAAGAATAACAACAGAGCGAGAGAAAATAGAAGAAATCAACTTCAATCCGATAGAACACGCAATACTGAAACAGGGATGATGGATGAACCACAGCCGCCACGGGAGGTAACTGAGGTTCCTCACCACCGTGGGGAGCACCAGCGTTCTAACCACCACCATCGTTCATCACAGCAGCAACAGGAGCAGCACCATCAATCGAATTTCCAACTTCCTCTCGAGGAGGAATACGACCCGCTGCCCTCAGAACAAATATATTGTCAAAGCTGTTATCAGTTACAAATGCGTAAGAACTTGAGGTTAGCACAGATAAAAGACAGAGTGTTGACAGCTACGGGCCTATTGACCCCTCCCAACATGACCGGAGTAGTGATATCTCAAAATCCAAACATCCAGGGGATTATAGAAGAAATGCGGACGTCGGTACCTCAGACAGCCTACATGCAGGAGCCTCCGTACAATGACGACGAGCCAGAGAGCAAGACAGAGAAGATGTTCTCCCCCGTAGAACCAGGTAACAACTACTCCTCACATTCAGGTAACTCTTAGTCCACAGAGGTTTGTCCCCCTGAGGGCCGGCGACCAACCCATACACTTGAATTAGACTAAAACACCCCCTGGCGCCCTCCATTATTGTATTATGAGGTATTGGATCTTGTTGACATATAGTGTTGTCTGTTGTTTGAAGTGTTTATAATAAATGTTTTGAAGTTTCCATTTGGCTACTAAACCTTCCTTCAAAGAAAAAAAAAATATTTCACATATAAACATATAATTAATTCGAGTGTATGAAGGCCCAGCCTACTTTTTAACTTTTGACATAGCTTCATATTGCTTCTGGCGACCAACTGTTCAGTTTCACGCGAGGACAGCCTGTAACTACCACCCCTCCTCCTCCCCCTCCTCCCTCCCTCCCTCACACACACACACACACACACACACACACAAACACACACACCTCCAGCCCCCACCCCTCCCCTTCTCCCCTCCCACCTCAACGCCAGTGTAAAATCCAGAATTATTGACCAGCTTCAGACGTGGGCAACAAGCGGGCTTACGCACGCCACCAACTCACTGTATTGACCATTTATAAGGCACTATATTGATCACACTGTGCATCTGTACTGCGCGTGCCAGGGCTCTTGTGGGGATTTAATGCTCAACGTAGTCTTCTGTTTTTCTCAATATGCACTTAGTAAAAAACACACAAATACATACAAAACAATCTCTCTCTACCACAGCAAGTGACTACACACCTGCAGCTAATACACCTGCATCTAAAAACACACTTGCAGCTAACAACACAGCTGCAGCTAACAAGACATTTACAGGTAACAACACAGCTGTAACTAATAATAGAGCAGCAGCTAGACCAGTAAAGCGTAACAATAACAACCAAATGCCCGAGCTTGTGTACACCTGCAAGACTCACGTTCTTATATGTGTATACGTTACGCTAAATATATAATGATATATCAATAATTATATGAAACTTGGCAGATCTTACCTTATATAATTCAGTATAATGTTATTTTATGAGAGCAGATGAGGTGTTAAATGGAGAAGAGCAGTTTTAGTGATACATTAACTAATTCCCAATAAGTTTTAACAAGAGAAACGTTTTTGCCTTACAAGAATAACTCTTATGTTTATGAATATTGAAAATTAGTTAATAATATTATATTGTAAAGTAAGTTCTCTTCCATTTAATGTTATTGAGTATCGTAATATAACAAAAGTATACTTAATTTAGTTAGGTTAGGTTAGTAATCATGGTATTCCTATATAGTTTGTGTTATGATTATACTGTATATTCGTTCGTCATTTGTTTAGATGTCTCCAATTATTCGCCAAATGCATCTCGTGTATCGCCACATCACATACCAGGAGATAAAGTTATTTTCAATAGAGTTAAACAACATAATACTGAATATCACTAATGATCTTTCTTCCATTGATTTTTTTTTAATATATCACTATTAACTATTTCTTTATTCTCTTATAAATATCTAAATGTAGAGTAAATGACTACAACAATTACTGAACCGAGCCAACACATCACACAGAAGCTCCTAAGACGGTGTTGTAGATTGTTTTTACATATACTACCACTATCTTAAAGGTCCTTCTGTCAGCCACCACACTACTCCCCCCACTACTACACTTGTCTGCCTTTTAGTTCATGTCTCTCATTCCAGACGCATTATATCATCTTAATCACACTGTTAACTTAGCACACACACACACACACACACACACACACACACACACACACACACACACACACACACACACACACACACACACACACACACACACACATATACACACACACACACACATCTCTTATACCCCTAATCACATTATCAATCTCGACCGCCAAAGAAACTTGTATTCTTCTAACACACTCTCTCTCTCTCTCTCTCTCCAGACTTTTGCCATTACAGTTTTACCTCTCCAGGCACTCTGCTCTCCACTCTAGTATACTTTGGTACTGCCAATAGTACTCTTTATCTCATTACCTAAACTCTTACATTCTTTTCAAAACGATGTTTTATGTTAAAACGTCCACACCCCTGACCTATGCACTGTACACTTCCATTCTCCCAAGTGATGTACAGTCCCCTTCACTAGTGCGTTTACAGGGGCTCGTCATATAAACATTCCACAAATCATTATTTTTGAGATATTTATTTTAATATTGTTTTGATTTGACTCCATAGCATATTTACTGTTGCGAGTTTTCTTCCGTCGAATGTAAACAAACACAGGGCTCCCACACTGCACAAAACCTGACGAGCCCCTGTAAACACACTAGTGAAGGAGACTGTATATACTTGAATGTATTTATATCTTTCCAAACACACATTTCATATCGTGCCAAATGTCCACGAAAATAGATGACGTCAACCTTAGACTGCACTCCTCCACACTAGATTCACCTCCACACTGAGACACACACTTCCACACTAAGACACACACCTCCACACTAAGAAACGCACCTCCATACTAAGACACACACACGTCCACACACACCTCCACACGAAGACACACCTCCACACCAAGACACACGTCCACACTAAGACACACACCTCCACACTAAGACACACACCTCCGCACTAAAAACACACACCTCCACACTAAGACACACACCTCCACACTAAGACACACCTCCATACTAAGACACACGTCCACACTAAGACACACCCCACACTAAGACACACACACCCTCCACACTAAGACACACACCTCCATACTAAGACACACGTCCACACTAAGACTCACACATCCACACCAGACACACACCCACACTAAGACGCACCTCCATACTAAGACACACGTCCACACTAAACACACACCCACACGAAGACACACACCTCCACACTAAGACACACACACACCTCCACACACACCTCCACAAGCACAACACCACACACACCTCCACACTCAAAACACCTCCACACTAAGACACACACCTCCACACTAAGACACACACCTCCACACTAGAACACCTCCACTCTAAGACACACACTCCACTCTAAGACACACACCTCCACTCTAAGACACACACACCTCCACACTAAGACACTCCACACTCAAGACACACCTCCACCTAAGACACACCTCCACTCTAAGACACACCTCCTGCCTCTAGACACACCTCCACTCTAAGACACACCTCCACACTAAGACACACACCTCAATTATAAGACACACCTCCACTCTCTAAGACACACCTCCACTCTAAGACACACACTCCACACTAAGACACACACCTCCACTCTAAGACACACCTTCACTCTAAGACACACCTCCACCTCTAAGACACACACCTCCACTCTCTAAGACACACCCCACACTAAGACACACACCTCCACTCTAAGACACACCTTCACCTAAGAAACACCTCCACCTAAGACACACACCTCCACTCTAAGACACACACCTCCACTCTAAGACACACACCCTCCACTCTAAGACACACCTCCACACTCAAGACACACCTCCACACTAAGAAACACCTCCACTCTAAGACACACACCTCCACTCTAAGACACACACCTCCACTCTAAGACACACACCCACTCTAAGACACACCTCCACACTAAGACACACCTCCACACTAAGACACACCTCCACTCTAAGACACACACCCACATTCTAAGACACACACCTCCACACTAAGACACACACCTCCACTCTAAGACACACCTCCACCTAAGACACACACTCCACTCTAAGACACACACCTCCACTCTAAGACACACCTCCACCTAAGCACACCTCCACACTAAGACACACACTCACACTAAGACACACACCTCCACCTAAGACACACACCTCCACCTCTAAGACACACACCTCCACTCTAAGACACACTCCACTCTAAGACACACCTCCACACTAAGACACACACCTCCATACTAAGACACACCTCCACTCTAAGACACACACCTCCACACAGACACACACCTCCACTCTAAGACACACCTCCACACTAAGACACACACCTCCACTCTAAGACACACCTCCACTCTAAGACACACCTCCACTCTAAGACACACCTCCACACTAAGACACACCTCCACACTAAGACACACACTCCACCTAAGACACACCTCCACTCTAAGGACACACCTCCACACTAAGACACACACCTCCACACTAAGACACACCTCCACACCAGACACACCCCACAATAAGACACACCTCCACACTAAGACACACACCTCCACACCAAGACACACCCACACTAGACACACCTCCACAATAAGACACACTCCACACTAAGACACACACCTCCACACCAAGACACACCTCCACACTAAGACACACACCTCCACACTAAGACACACCTCCACACTAGACACACCTCCACCAAAGACACACCTCCACACTAAGACACACACCTCCACACTAAGACACACCTTCCCACTAGACACACCTCCACAATAAGACACACCTAACACTAAGACACACACTAAGACACACCTCCACACAGACTCTCTAAGACACACACCTCCACTCACACACCTCCACTCTAAGACACACACCTCCACACTAAGACACACACTCCACTCTAAGACACACCTCCACACTAAGACACACCTGCACTTAAGACACACACCTCCACTCTAAGACACACCTCCACACTACACACACACCTCCACTCTAAGACACACCTCCACTCTAAGACACACCTCCACACTAAGACACACACCCACTCTAAGACACACCTCCACACTAAGACACACACCTCCACTCTAACACACACCTCCACACTCAAGACACACACCTCCACACTAAGACACACCTCCACTCTAAGACACACACCTCCACACTAAGACACACCTCCACACTAAGACACACACTCCACACTAAGACACACCTCCACCCACACACACCTCCACACACATACACCCACACTAAGACACACCTCCACACCAAGACACACACCTCCACACTAAGACACACACCTCCACACTAAGACACACACCCACTCCCCAACACACACCTCCACACTAAGACACACACCTC